TTTAATATTTATTTTATTATTTATTTAATTTAATATTTATTTCTCGCGCGCGCGAGAAATAAATATTAAATTAAATAAATAATAAAATAAATATTAAATTAAATAAATGATAAAATAAGTATTAAATTAAATAAATAATAAAATAAATATTAAATTAAATAAATGATAAAATAAATATTAAATTAAATAAATAATAAAATAAATATTAAATTAAATAAATAATAAAATAAATATTAAATTAAATAAATGATAAAATAAGTATTAAATTAAATAAATAAAATAAATATTAAATTAAATAAATAATAAAATTGACCTCTACAAAAATGAGTTTGCTCACCTCTACTGAAATGAGTTTGCGGAGGATTTCAAATGTGTGTATGGTGTATGATTATAAACTTGTGGATGTTGTGTGGGAACTAAAACATTGAATACTGAGGTGATCTGAGCGAATTGCTGAGTGAACCTTGTAATCATGTAAGCTCACTAAGGGTAGCCTCGAGGCTACCCTTATCAATCTTGTGTGACACTATTTTTATGCTTTGTGGAGTCTGTGTGATGGTAAATTTATGTGTCACAGAGGGGATCTGAGCGAATTGCCGAGTGAGCTTTGTAATCCTAAGTCAGTCCTCCATTCTAATAATTTAAAGGTATTCTGTAAGAGGGGCGCCGCGCCCCTCATGTGATTTTGAAAATCTGGGATCTATGAGTGGTCCCACCTGTTCTAAGGTTCTCAAGGGACTTGTCTTGGGTGAAACCTTGGGATTATTATATGGAGGAGACAAATCTGATATTTGCGATAGTTTGTCTAGGTCTTATTTGGATGTATATGAATAAGACTCGTGAGGATAGGAAAATGTTTGCAGGGAGTTTGCGGAAGAGATGGACCGCACCTTATCTTCAAGAGTTTGTAGAGGATGCTGATGGTGGAGTTTATGAGGGAGATATTATTCGAGAGCGGGATGATGGTCATTTTGTTAGGTTTACTTGAATCTACTTAAAGTTTACTTAGGATTTGCTTGAAAGGTAACTTAAATCTACCTGAATTCTACTTGTAAGATAACTGGGATCTACTGGTGAGATATCTAGGATCTGCTGGTGAGATACCTTAAATCTACTGGTGAGATATCTTAAATCTACTGGTAAGATAACTGGTGAGATAACTGTAATCTACTGCTAAGATATATGGGATCTACTTGTGAGATAACTGGGATCTGTTGGTGAGATAACTTAGATCTAGTGGTGAGATAACTGAGATTACTTGCAAGGTAACTAAGATCTACTGGTGAAATAACTGAGATCTACTTGCAAGGTAATTGAGATCTACTTGCAAGGTAACTTAAGTTTACTGGTGAGACGTCTTAGGTTTACTTCTAAGGAATAGTTGCGGTTTGCTTGTAGAAACTTATGTGATCATGTGGTGTTGCAAATAAATAGCTGCGGTCTGCCTGTAAAAATTGTGCGGCCCTGCTGGGAATTTTCTCTGAATCTTGTGGTTTGATTGCGGAACTTGTGCGGTCTGCTTGTAAACTTTGGCAGTTCCTCTCATGGAAGACATCCTAGCCTCACTTGTAGGAATAAGTTAAAACATCATGTATAGTATAGATAAAGAAATGTATTCCAAGAGTTACTGTTGTGGTAATAAGTATGTGTTCCTTAAGAATAGTATCAGTATTGCAGGAAGGACTTATAATATTGAGGCAGGGAAGTATGAGGTGTCCTCTGGGAAGACAAGCTCTGTTTATCCTTCACAGGTAAGAAGATGTGTAAGTAAGTATGTGAAAAATCCTGGGGTAAATATAGTTGTTAATGTGATTGTTCAGATTAAGAAGTAATTACTGAACAGTGAAAACCTTAAGTATTGCCCTAGTATGAGATTCCACATTGTAAGAGTCTGTAGTGCACTTGGAATTGAGCCAAATGAACAGCTACGGGATCTGTATCCATCTAATATAAAGGCTAAGCATGAATTCCTATTCTACGGAATAATTGTTCCTACTATTGGCCTTGATGTGAGCAACTGCAAATATTTCCATGAGTGGTACAGAGATCTTAGGCGAAGAGCGAGGGATTTGGGGAATATTTGTATTGGACCTGAATGGATAGATTGGGATGATCGTTGGGCAGAGTTCTGGTATAGGGAAAACAATGGGATGAATGATGGATTTGTAATATGTGGGAGAGGAAGATAGTTAAACCTATGGTATAATAGAAATGGATGGTTGGAAGAAATTCGAGTTTAAGAAACTGCTGGAAAAGCATCACAGTGGGGAAGACTACCATACGCTGTTAAATTGCCTTATGAAGGTTAGAAAGGTTGTAGATGAAATGGGTGGAGTTAGAATGCCCCAGCTGAAGAGCATCATATTGAGAACTTGCAGCAGACTTGGTATTGATACGACTATTACTGACTCTAGGAGTAAAGAGGTAATTCTACAAAATGAAGATATCCTATTTGGTCGGGTTTATCCTATTCTGGGTTGGGAGCCGCGTGATTGTAAATACTACAGAGAATGGTTAATTAGAAAGCTGGAGAAAAGAATTGAGCTTGAAAACCTTGATCTAAACAGAAAACTGGATAATTGCTCTGTAAAGACTGAAATTGATAGTGAGGGGTCTCCCTGATAGGTAAAATAGGTATTGTGGAGGCCGTCTGTGAAAATTGAATAATTACATTAAACATCGCGTATAGTATAGAGTAAAAATGGAAAACAAATCGGCAAAAAGTATGACAAAAAATACGGCAATAAATACAGCAGAAAATACGGCAAAAAATTTTGACACATATTATATAGAGAAGAAGATGGAAAATCCTGCTGATACGATGAAGGCTTACGCTGAGATGATGGCTAAGATGCAGGCTCAGATGGCTGCTATGGTGGCAAAAGATGAGCCTCGTGATAAGGAAATAGCGGAATTGAAAAAGAAGGGTGAAGTTAGTGAGAAAAAGCTGAAGGCTCTTGAGAAGGATAACAGGAAGCTTAAGAAGGAAGGTGAATCCAATAGGAAGAGTCTTGGTGTTCTCAGAAATGATAACAGGAAGCTGAAGAGAAATATTGCGGCAATGAGGGCTGGCGAGGAAGGAATTGAGGTTATCGGTGAATCAGCTACTCCAACATTACATAAAACCATAACTTATGCAAAGACTGGTGAAAGTGATGAGGGAACAGTTGAGAAATTCTCTTTAGGTATAAGTAGACCTGACTTTGGTGGACAACTTGATGTTAGCCGTGAGATTGTGGGTAATCTGCTCAAATCCGTTCTTAATCAACCTATTAAGTTTGTCGAAACTCTTGTGCTGAAAATGGTGAAGGGTCTTCTTAGTAAGAATGCTGCTGTTGATCTTCCAATGGAAAGTGAGACCATAACCATTATGAATGAAAGTGAAGTTGAGGATGCGGTGAGACTTAGTGCTGAGAGAATTATAGCTAAGATCGAATCTTACCAGGATCGTGGTAGCAATTGGAGGGTGATCTTGGTTGAGAAACATGAAGTTGACGTTGTTCATTTCAATCCGTTGGTTGGCAGTTCATTTATCGAGTTACCTGCTCCTCTGAAGTCCGATAAGAATGGGCTAATTAACATTGTGAACACTAATGATGACGAGTGCTTTAGATGGTGTCATGTAAGACATTTGAAGCCAAAGGATAAGAGGGCAACTGAGATTACCAGGTCTGATAGAGAGTTTGCCAAGACACTCAACTGCAACGGTATTGGGTTTCCTGTGAGGATAGATGACATTCCAAAGATTGAGAAGGCAAATGAGATCAGAATTACCGTGATTATGTTGAAGGGAGAGAAGATGTTCTTTCCGAGGTATACATCGAAGTTTGACTATAAGAATCATATGGAGTTGCTGCTGATGGAGGACAATGAGGGAAATACCCACTATGTCCTTGTAAGGGATATTAGCATGTTACTCAGTGGTCTAAGTAAGACTCAACATAAGAGATTCTACTGCCTTAGTTGCCTTAATGGGTTCAACTCACAGGAACGATTGGATAAACATAGTGGGACATGTAGAGAGGTGAACGGAACGCAGAAAACTATGATGCCGAAGAGAGGTAGCAAAGTTGTATTCAAGAATCATAAGAGACAATTACCTGTTCAGTTTGTAATATATGCTGACTTTGAATCGTTGCTGATCCCTGTTGATGGGAAGGGCGACTGCCTACGTAAAACACATGACCATGAGATGTGTAGCTATGGTTTCAAGAGAGTGTGTTACTATGATGGTAAGTATGATGGTGAATATAAAAGCTATAGGGGAGTTGGTGCGGTCGGGAGATTCTTGAGTGATCTGTTGGGTGAAGTTGAGGAGTGTAATAAGATTATTCAAAGTGAGTTCAACAAGGAAGTTATTATGAGTGTAAAAGATTATGAAAAACTTGAGAAGGCAGCTGAGTGTCATATCTGTGGTGGTAAGTTTAGCGAGGGTGATAAGAAGGTGCTTGATCATTGTCATGTTACTGGTAAGTTTAGAGGCGCTGCTCATAACTCATGTAACTTGAATCATAAGTTGACTGGAAAGATTCCTGTTGTGTTTCACAATCTACGTGGTTATGATGGTAACTTTATTATGCAAGGTGTTGCTGAACTTGGTGAGAAGATTGAAGTGATTGCAAATAATATGCAAAAGTATATGTCCTTCAGAGTGGGCAAGCAGTTGGTCTTCATTGACTCTATGCAGTTTATGAGCAGTAGTCTTGAGGCTCTTGTTGGGAATCTTGATAAGAGCCGTTCCAAGAGAATGCAGAGTGAATGGCAAGGAGAGGAGCTTGAGATGTTACTTAAGAAGGGAGTTTACCCTTACGATTATATGAGCTGTTGGGAGAAATTTGATGAGAAAAGCTTGCCTGAGAAATCTGCATTCTACAGTTCATTGTATGAGGAAGAGGTTAATGATAATGACTATCTTAGAGCGTGTAAAGTATATAAGAAGTTTGACTGTAAGAATTTAGGTGATTATCATGACTTGTATCTGAAGACTGACGTGTTGTTGTTAGCGGATGTATTTGAAGACTTTAGAAGAGTTTGTCTTGACAGTTATAAGTTGGACCCTGCGCATTACATATCTGCTCCTGGACTTAGTTGGGATGCTATGCTGAAAAGGACAGGCGTAAAACTGGATTTACTTTCTAATGTCGACATGTATCAGTTCATTGAGAAGGGAATGCGCGGTGGGGTAAGCTATATTGGTCACAGATACGCGAAGGCTAATAATAAATATATGAGTGACTATGATCCTGACCAGCCGAGTAGCTACATAATGTATCTCGATGCGAATAACCTCTACGGGTGCGCAATGAGTGAGGAGCTGCCATATGGGAAATTTAGGTGGGTTAATACTGATAAGATTAAGCTTGAAGATTATGGTAAAGGTAAGGAGAAAGGTCTGATACTGGAGGTTGATCTTGAATATCCGAGTGAACTTCATAAGTTACATAGTGATTACCCATTAGCTCCAGAGAAGATGGAAATTACTGATGATATGTTAAGTGATTATGCAATGTATATAAAAGAGGCTCACAATGGTAGGTCAACTGGTGTGAAAAAGTTGGTAACCACGCTGACTGGGAAAACCTCCTATGTATGTCATGTGAATAATCTTAAGTTGTACATGGGGCTGGGAATGAAGCTGGTGAAAATAAGAAGAACACTCGAGTTTGCTCATTCAAAGTGGCTCAAAGGTTACATCCAGTTTAACACTGATATGAGAACAGTTGCTAAAAATGATTTTGAGAAAAACTTCTTCAAACTGATGAATAACTCTGTGTTTGGAAAGACAATGGAGAACCTTAGAAAAAGGGTTGACGTAAAACTGATGGTTGACGATGATAGGTTAAAGAAGGCGGTTGCTTCTCCATGTTTTGTAAGAGCTAAAGTGTTAAGTGGCGGTTTAGTTGCGGTTAAGAAGGTAAAGGAGGTGTTACTCTTGAACAAACCCGTTTATATTGGAATGAGTATTCTTGATCTGTCAAAAACGGTAATGTATGACTTTCACTATAATCATATAAGAAAGATTTATGGTAGCCGAGCAAAGTTACTTTTCACAGATACAGATAGTCTAATGTATAGGTTGCATACTGATGATGCATATAAAGATGCGGCAAACTTTTCTGATAAGTATGATACCAGCGGTTACAGTAAGAAGTCACCCTTCTATGATGAGACTAATAAGAAAGTCATCGGTAAATTTAAGGATGAAGCTGGCGGTGTACCTATAAGAGAATTCATTGGGTTGCGGTCAAAGATGTACAGTTATGAGAAAGATGATGGGGGAGGTGGTAAGACAGCTAAAGGTGTAAAAAAGTATGTAATCAAAAAGTTCATCACTCACGAAGACTATAAGAGGACGCTGGTGGAGGGTCTTCAGATGAAACATAGTATGAACGTTATAAGAAGCAACTGTCATGATGTTGGAACGTACAATTTAAGAAAGGTCTCACTGAGCGCCTTTGATGATAAAAGGTTTCTGCTCACTAACGGAATATCAAGCCTGGCATATGGACATGTAAAACTAAGTTCAGGCAAGGATAATCACCGTTTAGGTTGCCAAAACAGACTTAAGAGTTAATTTCCATATCAGATAGGGAAGGTAAACGGAGAGGCTGTTGGAGCAGTAAAAAGTGGCCTCAATTTGTCATTCAGAGAAGAAAATGAAAATAAAAGTGGTGTTTTTTACAAAAAATGTATGTTAAAAGGATTCCAGAAGAGGTAAATCGGTGAAATCTCGGGAGTCGGGCGAGGTACAAAAAATTTTGAGAAATGAGCAAAAGTGCCTTTGAAATGGCTCTAGAACGTGTAAAATCACTGTTTTCAGAGAATCATCAAAAATTGATGAATCGATATCCTACCACCTCGAAAATTTAGAATTGCGTTCTGAGCACTACTTTTGTGGTTGTAGAGGGTCTAGAAAGCAAAAATTGATAAAGTAAAAAAAGTGGTCGTAGAGGGTCTGTGAGCATCAATGTGTGTGTTGCCGATGGTAAATACAGCATGAAAATGGTGTTGAAACGGTCGTCTGAGACCCAAAATTAGTACATCAAATTTAGCGTTGTAGAGCGTCTAGAATCACAAAAATGGTCAATATTGACGAAAAAAAGTGGTAAGATATCGGCATTTTACATACTACTCGAGTCCAACCAGCTGCCAAGTTGTTGCTAACAAGAATACCTAAATCATTCTGAGCAGCGGAAGAATTTATCGGTTGTTGGTTAAATATGTATTCTTGTGGTGTCACTGAGGATTTCGTTCGTGAAAATTGGAGAACGACACATTAGTTGGTGTTAAACTTTAAATCCCTCGTAAACGACCATCGATGGAGGAGATTTAAGTCGGACTGGAGGAGATCTCTATCTCGTGGCTGAGAAATTTCTCGGTAGCATTTGCTGTCGTCAGCAAACATTGGGACTATGCTATGGTTAGCCGCGTTTGGAAGATCGTTTGCATAGATCAAAAATAGAAGTGGACCAAGTACACTGCCTTGTGGAACCCCTGATGTCTCTGTGAGGAATGATGACGCGACTCCTTCGACCACCACTCGTTGACGCCTTTCATTCAGATAGTCCGAGAACCAACTCATCAATGAGCCTGAGACAACATGCTGTTCAAGTTTCAAAAGAAGATTACGATGTGACACTGAATCAAAGGCTTTTGAGAAGTTTAAATAAATCATGTCCGCTTCCTTTCCGGAGTCCAAGGCTTTGCCAACGTCATGGAAAACACCAAGAAGTTGAGTTATACAAGAGCGTCATTTGCGGAAACCATGTTGTAAATTATTCAGCGACGATTGAACAAACTCAGAAACGTGGATATTTACATGTACAACTTGTTCATGCAAGTTTAGATACTAGGGACAGCAGGGAAATCGGTCGGTAATTGCTGACTTCGTGTATATTGCCTTTCTTGGGAATAGGGACTACATTAGCTTCCTCCCACTCCTAGGGGACTTTACCAAGAGAAAGGGACTTGTTGAATAGCGCTATCATAGACGGAGAAATCTCGTTTGAACACTCTTTTAACAATTTGGCAGATATCTCATCGGGACCGGTGGCTTTATCAGTAGAAAGATTTGATAAAAGATAACTAACTTCTTCTGTTGAAACGGAAATAGACTCAAGATTATCCAAACCATAACTGGTGGGAGGAACACGGGAAGAAATTGGCGTAACCGGACGAAAAGTGGATGAAAAAATTTGTTAAAGGCATCGGTTTATTCTCCTTAGAGTTGCATGAGTAATCCCAACAAGTAGATTTTAAACTTCTGACGTTTTGGTAAAACACACTTAATGGTCGACATAAATTACTTTTGCAGTTCCGATTTGCAGGGCCTTTTTGATGTTGTTTTGTCTTTAAAAAGGCCTAACCTGGAACTTGGGTTGATTTAACCAGGACGACCTGGTACAATAACCAGACAATGCTATACGTCGATATGCAACCAGACAACTGTTTAAATTTTTTTTTCTTATGTACAAAACATGAGGGATGCAACTTCTGGTTACTTTGAAGATTAAAATAATTTCAAAATATTACAGCAAATATGATATTGCATAGTGGCTCAATTTTGACTCAATGCTTAAGTGACTCAGTCACAATCTGCCTAATCCAGCTCAATAAAGACTATTAAAGTCGACCGCATTTCTGCTCAAACGTACGACTGTGTCTTTGCTATTGGAAATGATTTTCTTCTGTTTTGGCCCATCCAAGTAAAACTAGTCATCAAGAGAACCACAGCCCATAACTGCGAACTACACCTATCTATTACAAACAAAATCAAAATCATTTTGAGCATTGCAAATAGGCTATGAATATGCGCATGCTTGTGTTTATAAAGCTTATCATTTTGTGTCACGCACAATCCTGTTTTATATACTAAATATAAAGTTACACACACCAGATGTGTTCAAACAATCAGATACAAACCAAGGCGAGCACAATACAATACTGACAATATTACAATAATATACATGCACAAAAAATGATCTACTTACCACTAATTTTACAGCTATTGTACCATCGCGGCGTTAATGTCTCTATCACTTGGTCTATCATACTGGACGTCGACTTTCAGATGCAGTACTGACTAGGTTTACTGACCTTATTATTCCAGTCGCTAACCGTCATACCGCGCCGCCAAATTATGGCCAAATAAACAATAAGATATAGCACTTGTTTTTCTATTTTAAAAAATCAGTTATCTGCACCATAAACAAGTGAAATGGGCAAAAATTCCACTGCGATATGTTGAAACGTCATATAATTTACTACAAATACGGCATCATATCTTCGTTTCCGTTCATTTTACGCGGCATCGATATGGCGGCGGAAAAGTTCGCACGCGATGACCAAATTCAGAGGCGAAATTTGACAACTTCTAGGCATCGCATGATGGTCAAATATATATGAAAATGCTTCTAAAAGACTGAATTTTTATTTAAGCTAAATAAGTAGGTCCAAAAATTCGACATCTTCAGAGCAATAACATACAAAGCGGAAAACATAGAAATATGAATAAATTACAACTATTTAGAAGATATTATATTACTGCAGAAGTAGAAGGAGGAGTGGATCAGAGCATAAGTAGAGGGACCGACTACCTTGTACGTTGAGAAAGGGTTTGAATCTGTTAATGAGAAGACTTTCTCGACTGAGGAGTTCGTCTGGAGAGGAGCAACAAGAAATAATCTTAAAATCATTAAGAGAGGTGGTGTGGCCAGTGTTATCAAGATGGGAAAAGATACTAGACCAAGTGTTCAGATACTCGTGTGTGCAAGTGACGGACCCAGGGACGTAGCGAAGATGTGCTAGTTGGGGGGGTGCAATGCAGTAATTTACCTGATTTTACACTATTGTAAAAATTTACCTGAAAGATAAACCCCCTATCTTTGTGCACTGCAATGTTGTGGTGCATTTCTCCCCTGCACAGTTATCACCTAGATATTTAACCCACATCTATTTTTACAACATTTTTTTTTGCTTTTCAATCTACTTTTTCTCATTAGAATATGTTTGGGTTATTTTTGTTCTTCTAAATTAAAGAGTATAAGCCACACGAGAAGAACACGAGCATATACAAACCGAGTACTCCGAACTCCGAATAGAACTCTCCACTCATTTTATCAATTAGGTAGTTAAATCTAAAATACCATGATCACATTGATTAGTTACCTCTCGGCCTTCCAATAACTACAGTCAATTTTAACAAGTTTTTGTCGAAGCAGTCCATCCGCCTTTTTTATGTAGGGAAAAGGTGTAAATTGATATAATTTATATAATAAAGATAATTTTTAGCTGAACTAGAACTGCTTTTCCCTATACAATGAACAATAATGTTACATAGTAGTTATTTGTAATGTTTTTAACCTTCAATAGTATAAGTTATTGTTTTCAAGCAATCGCCAATCGGCGGTTTTTCAAGATTGACCATTTTTTCGTGATCGCAGTAACATCAAAGACATCAGTGATATTCTTTTCAGCGGCAAGGATCATGCAATCATTCAAACGTTTTCCAGATATTTTATTGCGTGAATAACTTTTTACAATCCTCAGTAAACTGAATGATCTCTCATTTTTCACAACGGCAGGGGCGGCTGTCAGAAATAGTTTATAAAGCTCTGAAGCCAACTTGAAAAGACCATGCCCCTTGGCCACCCTAAGAGCAATGTCCGCTGCAATCGTACATGACATGGGTTTTGCCTCAAGACCTTGTGACTGACGTTCTTCTTCCATTCGTCTGTGTTCCTTCAGCGCATATTTAAAGAAAGCGGACAATTCGCTGTGTAATGCTGGGCTTTGTTCCTGGTGTTTCTGGATGCAATACCTTTAGGAACGGATTTTAATCCGTTAAAAACAATGTTATTACACAGTGAACAACGTGAACAACGTCTTGAGACTTGATGTTAACCTAAGTATGTGACTTTTTGTGATTTTTGGGCAAACAAAAACGAGGATTAATGCAGAAACAAATGGTCTTAAGAACACATATAATAAATAATGCATAAAGATTACACACGTATAATATAGAGAACAGTAATGCTAAAACAATGCCCTCGTAACGGCTCATTCAACCTAAACTATTCAACAATGTTACAAATCTACGAGACAATTCTTTAGTAGTTATTAGACGAATATTGCGTATATATCGCCATATCGGCCATTTGTGAAGAATTATTAACGAACTACTACCACACAATACACATCACATATGTGCATCACACATACACAGACGTTCAAAATTTACATCTGGATATCATATCCCTGTTGCTGTATTAATCTAAGCAAACAAATAATTCTATGTATTTCAAATACACTGTATTATTATCAAAAAGTAGATGAAATTAATATAATTTCTTGCACGTACCTTGACCTTGTGTAAAGAGCCAAAACCGGAAGCGCATGTTACTTAGCGAAAAAATTCTGTTTTTTTTGCCGATGGAAATAGTAAAATAGACAACATATTCTTTTCGTAAAATAAAGCCTGGCTACATTGAAAAAACGGAAACCTCTGAACGTATCAACGTATGAAGCCATAAAGAATTAAAACCTCATCTATTTTCCGCATTTCAATTCTCTATTATTTGCCTGTTATTGTTATGGGTTTTCAAGAATTTTTACCTGATTTATTATAATGCCAGTTTTTCATGGATTTACCTGAAATTTTCAAATCGTCTTAGTTGGGGGGGGTGTCACACCCCCCACACCCCCCCGGTCGCTACGTCCCTGTCATATAGCACGAAAGATTGCATACACCAAATTATTCCCGCCATTTTTAGATTTGGGAGACAGTAAATGGGAGACAGTAAAAGCGGATGGGCTTGGATAAATTCGCTCTTAGGAAGAAAGCATAAGAATGCAAATATTAATGAACTGAAAGTAAATGATGATATTATTTCTGATGATAAATCTATTACTGAAACATTAAATGAATATTTTATAAATATTGGAATGAAGATGGCTGCTGAATCAGCATGTCAAAGCACTGATGCTTTAAATGATCAAGTAATTTATGAAAGTACTGCGCTTCTTCCTAAAGAAAATTTTCACTTCGCAGATATTACTATAGATAGTGTTTCCAAACGCCTACAAAAACTAAATGTCTCAAAAGCGACAGGTATGGATGGAATACCTGCGAATATTTTAAAACTGACATCAAGCCTTATTGCTCCATCTATAACTTTTATATTTAACCTATCGATTAGAACTGGTATTTATATAGATGAGTGGAAATTAGCTAGAGTTATACCAATTTACAAATCTGAGGATAAGCGTAAATGCGAAAATTATAAACCAATTTCAATTCTTCCCATAATAAGTAAAATATTTGAAGGGGAAGTTTTTACTCAAATATATAGCTTTTTGAATAAACATGCGCTTCTGTCTAAATTTCAATCCGTGTTTAGACCAAAACATGGAATCTTAGGTGCTCTTATACAAATGTGTGATCAATGGCTACAAGACATATCATGGATGAAGGTAAAATAAATGGAGTTGTTTTTCTTGATATATGTAAAGCATTTGACTCGTTGAATCACGAGATATTATTGGAAAAGCTTAAAACCCAGTTTGGAATTCACGACATTGAATTAAAATGGTTCCAATCATACTTAAGGAATAGAAAGCAAGTGTGTTCTGTTAATGATCAAACTTCTTCTGCAAGAACAATAATATGCGGAATTCCGCAAGGATCCATACTTGGTCCATTATTGTTTTTGCTATATATTAATGATATGCCTGACATTTTAGAAAGGACAACCCCATGTCTTTATGCCGACGACACTCAGATATCTTCCTCTTCGCATGATTACGATACATTGATTGACAATTTGAATATGGACCTTTCCAGTATTCATAAATGGCTTGCTAAAAACAAACTAAAATATCATAGGAAAAAAACAAAAGTCATGTTTATTGGATCTACGCATAATCTAAATCATAAAATAGGAAATAGACCCGTTGAGATTAACAAAATCCCAGTCCCACAAACCAATACATTTAAATGTCTAGGTGTAAATCTAGATGAAAAATTAAGTTGGGAGAAACATATTGATTCTGTATGCCATAAGATTAGCGCTGGAATAGGAGCAATTAAAAGAATAAAACCTTATGTTCCACACAAAACCTTACATGATGTCTACAAAACATTAATTCAGCCTCATTTTGATTACTGTTCTCCCCTGTGGGATAACTGTGGTTTGGGACTTCAAGACAAATTGCAAAAATTCCAAAATCGAGCAGCAAGGGTGATTACCGGAGCTGACTACGATGTAAGATCGTCTGAAGTCCTAAACAAATTAGGCTGGGAAATCCTGGCTAGGAGACGAGAACAAAACAAGCTAGTATTGATGTATAAAGTCTTGGGGAACCACACTGCGCCAAACCTTAAAGATCTTTTTTCTCGGAGAAATGCATCGCAGAATATTTATGATTTACGCAATAGCGAAACTGATCTCTCGTTAAAAAAACCGAAAACGGAATTTCTAAAGAAAACATTTGGATACAGTGGAGCAATTCTATGGAATAGTCTCCCGCAAGATGTCAAGGCGGCTGAGTCAATTACGTCATTTAAAACAATGGCGAAATTGCATTTAAGCAGATGATAAGCTAATTTCTCCAGGACCAAATGATGGGAGGACAATATAGATTGTGGGCGGGAGTGGGGTTAGTTTTGCGTGAGGGTGGGTGGGTACTTGTTTAGGGGGTGGAGGTTTGGGAGGAAGATGATAAAATTTTAGGGTGGGATTCTTACATATTTTGTTCTATATATATAATTAACATTTAGCTCTTTGTGTGTATACGCCCTTCGTGGAAACCAGTTGTAAATAATTGTCGAAGTTAGCGTATTGAAATAAAGTTTTACATACATACATGTCAACAAGTTGATTTTACAACTTGCACTTGAAAAATAGATGTGTAATTTTCAACTTCCGCCGATTGAGTAATTTAGTGTATGCAATCTTTCGTGCTATACTGTGTCAGTACCTCGATAATGATATATACAGGACATATAGCCTAGTACCTCCTCGTCGTGTGCGACCTTTTTATATGTAGTATGGCGTATGCTCGGTATGCTATTCCATACTAACCGGCCAACAATGAATCTCAGGGCAAGCGAAAACCGGCTCGAGCGAAAACGCGGATAATGTCGTAGGATTTTTACTCGTAAAAATTTTAAAATCCCCTCATTTAGTGTCAGTTTAATTTACAGTTTAAACATGGACGAATAGACATATGCATGCGTTGAAACATCATTTATATACAACTTAATACATGGCCTATAATTATATTTGTTTGTATTTTTGTCATTTTAATTGGGCGAAAGGTTATTCACACGCTAGAGGTTTTTTATCCATCGCCGCTTATAAAATATTTCATGTGAGAAAGGATCAATATTAAAGAACTGTCTGTATTAAAGTGATGCTCATGCCAACTTCGAACGAGAATTGAAAATTACCCTTAAACCCTTTTGCGCTTCAAAAGTAGCTATTAAAGTCGGTAAAAACAAGGAAGCCAATAATATTTTGATTGGCATGTTTTCAACAACAAACAAAGATGGGCCATTTATTCTCAACAAATAACAATTCTAGGTTTGATTTCTATTTTTCGGGAAAATATTTATTAATTTGAGACTGATTTCTGTGAGGATTTCTGTTCGTTATTAGTAGCTATCAGTCAGCCAAGTCAGAAAATTGAAAAGGCACGTTTTACGCAATAATTATGCAGCAATACTTTCACACCCCCCGGTATTTTTTTTCGAATTTTTAACAAATTAAGAATTTTTAGTGTGCCGGTGTTCCGTGTTCCGGAATGATGCTGTTCCGGTGTTCTGTTGTTCCGGTGTTCCTGGTTTTACTAATAGCCGAAATATTGTTACATTCCTTCGTTTTGATTGACATGTTTACGCACAAGCCCAAGGAAATACCTTTCTTTCGTTCGGGTTTTCCCCAGCTGAGTTTTTTTTGTCCTATATATTTGCCGACTTTTCTGCTTCAACGAGGGCTTGCAACGTAGGCTATGTAATAAACTGAAAATTTAATTTTGTAAAACTCAAACAAAAACAGTTTTAAAGTAAATATACAATTACTCGCTGATGTATCCGTCCATACACACATCTTCAACCAGTGCGTTCATTTCTTCGTGTTTCAGATCTTCTATTTCATGTTTGTAACCACAACTACCTTCCCCAGTCCCAGATCGCTTAGTACATTTTGAAATAAAGGTTTGATATGATTTAACCAGATTAGCTTGTGTTTTCTTCAATACAGAGAATTTTTCATCCAGACCTTGATCCAAATCTGCTTGTGTAATTTTGCCGTCATCCATTTGTCTGCATAAATCATTGTATTTACAATTTAATGCCGCATGCGCCCTTTCAACTTGGTCGAGGTTTCCCATCATTGACTTACTTAGTACTGAATTGTCTTTCGTAATTTCTGTGTATACAGTTTCGCACTTCTGCACATGCAGTTGAAGAAGTTCAGTTTTCTTTAAAGTCCATGCAACATCCACTACTCCATTTAAAGCTTGAACACCCCAATGGCGTAAGGCGATATCATTTTCATCTTCTTCTGCCTTTTGATTCCCAAAACGTTTTCTCTCTCTTTCAAATAGCTCGTCTGGATAGCATTCTTCTAACTCCTTGACTGAGTACCTTCTTATCAACGGACTATTGCTCTCTGTTCCAGTTTCTGGTTTTAAGGTTTTGTTTTCAAATTGCGATGTCGACTTAGATTTAAACCCTAAAAATCCGTCTGTCTCTATATCTGGCTTTTGACCAATCGAAACAGGGCTATTCGAACGCAGAACTTGCACAGTTTCAGATGCCTTCCCTTCTGACTTATTTTTAATGACAAATATTTCGTATTTGAATACTTTTAGTTCTGTTTTTGAAATGCGTTGTTTAACAAGGTAATTACACTCTTGTAGACATGATACTGAACAGCCAAAAAATTTAAATTTAAAGTCACTGTGAACGAGCGCCCCGAGTTGTTGCTGAATTTGCTTCCGAACTTGGGTTAGGTCTTCTTCTAAATCATATTTAACGATAAAACCAAGTGTCTGTTTAGTTTGGTCGTCGCGAATTACAACCATATTATTTCAATGCGAGTAGTCCGGCTGCCTGAGAATGCTTTTTTACAAGTAGTGCGTTTCTGTGTTCTCCAATACTGTATAAATATCACGACAAAAGTTTCACGTTCTATGTGCAAATATATGGACGGAAGTGACCGTGTAATTTATTGTTATTTTTAGCCAATAGGCGTACAGTATTTGGCTTTTATTTATTTTTTCTATATACGATTTTAACATTATTAATAGACTTTATACTTTTACTTATTGCAAAGCGACAAAGAAAGAGTTTTAGTTCATATTTATAAACTTGCTGTTCTATATCATCTGAATGATGGGAAGGTTTTGAGTTTGGGTAATTGTCGAGGGTGAAACGTCGAGGACTAAAGTCGAGGGTCGAAAGTCGAGGTCCGAAACGTATTTTAAAACAAGTATTAATTTTAGAATTCTAAATTTTTTGATGAACGATTTAGTGTCAAAATTTTTAAAGTTTTAAATTTCTTCTTTATTTAAACTTAGATAAAATATAAAGCACTAAAGAGCGACCAGGGGCGTCGGAACGGCTCTAAAAGTGGGGGTGACAATCTATAGGGGCTTACAGTAAAACTAGAGTATATCTGAAATGCCATTTCCTGCACTTTAGAAGGATATTTACAGAGTTCCAAACGTAACAAAATGTCATAAAAAATATCAAATTGTTCTGTCTACACGCGTAACTGAAATAATATCAATTAACTTTGTGGCTTATTATTGACCATTGTTAAAAAGTGGGAACCCAAAGACATCTAGCCCTCCCGCAACTACAAAAGTGGGGGGCTCCTTCCCCCCCCCCCCACACACTTCTGACGCCCCTAAAAGCGACTAATCTCTGAGAGCCGCTACGCAGGCTACATAAATTGATGATACTAAATTTTAAGTTTGGGTAATTGTTGTTGATTGACAAGGGCGTGGTTTTATTTTTGTGCTTTTATTTCTCTCGTGGATTTGAAGCGAACGACAAATTGATGGTTCATCAAATTTTTGCTCGGTTTTTTCAGTTGATTCTAATTGTTACAGTTGATTCACGAAACTTTGGCCCTTTGGCCGCGCCAGTTGCGTGGTTGGTTGGGAATTTAGGAACTATAAACACGGGATCATCAAGTTGATTGGAAACCGGCCAATCAAATTCGGAAGTTTCGGATCAAATTATCGAAATTCGTTATGAAATTCCGAACCAAGTTCGCAAGCAAGTTCGCAAATTGCAAACGATTTTGGCGGTAAATCCCAAAAACTAAACTTATTGTATTAAACTTATCCATTTAATAAATAATATCATAATAATAATAAGCTCAGTTTTTAAAATTATAATAAGGCCTAATAAGAGACTCTAAATTTAAAATTACCTCGGGCCTTCGGCCCTCACTTTCAGCCCCCCCCCCCAATCGAAAAGAGCTTCCTACGGCCCTGTGTATTGTATTTTTGCCAAATCTACCAATAGCAATTTCTAATTTACCTTATTGTTCCAGTCAGCTAGTTCCAACTTTCCTAAAACATTGCTATTGGTTAGTTTCATGCCCTCATCATTAGTCAATCATATTTGAGTTATTTTGCCCTCTATACTATTAATTCATAAAAACCTCAATAGAATACCCTTGTTTAATAAAGAAACATATACAGTATACTTACTTATACCAGTGAATCGTATATGGTAGGAGTGGATTAAGTAGTTTGATATAAGCATGTAATTTGATATTTATTTGTATGTGTACGTCATGCTGGGCATATAGTTTATTGTACTTATTGAACCGTAAGTCATTATTAATATTCATTCCAAAAGGCATCGCAGGCTGTGTTGGGATATTTAATTAAAACAATATAGATTCACCGGCAGTTATCTTACAATGATTGAGTCTTGCTGATGCTTCCATTTATTGAATATAAGGCAAGAGGGCAAGAGGCAAGTTTATATAGTGTTCCTCTCCCCATGCAACCCCAATGGAAAGGCCATCTCGAAGCCCTTGAAAAATACTGACCTCACTGGAAAAGTTTAATTAACCCCTATCGGAAAAATCTTTACACCCTGCTGGAAAAATTGCCTTGCCCCTCTGGTCCTTCTGGAAAAATGACTTGACCCCATTGGAAATCCACATGGGAAATCATCCCAACCCCACTGGAAAAATGACGTAACCCTTCTGGAAAGGCAAATGTGACATTTTATCCCATCTGGAATTTCAGTTTTTATTATCTCCTCTGGAAAAATAGGCCTCTATACCCCTCTGGATTTTTGGTCCTCGACAGGGGGGGTACGGATATTAAATGTAATAGCCCATTTAGCATGATTATAAAAGAATCAAAGATTCCAAGAATTTATATGACGTAATTATGACAAGTTTGTATTACGTAATTTTGGCGGCTTTTGTACAAGCGGCGGCAAATGGCAATTTTCAACTTGACAAATGGCAATTTTCAACTTGACAAATGGCAATTTTCAATTTGACAAATGGCAATTTTCAACTTGACAAATCACAATTTTCAACTTGACAAATTGCGACTTTGAACTTGACAGATCGCAACTTTCAACTGTGCAAATCACAACTTTCAGTATAGCAAATCGCAACTTTTGATATTAGATTTTTTTCACCAAGTTCATTGTTGCATGCAGGAAAGTCGTTAAATGTTTGCGTGGTAAACAATTGTCAAAAGCCGTATGAAAAATTATGGGCAAAATTAAATGTTGATTCCCCATGTTAAAAGTCGAATTTCAATATTGATTTTTGGCGGTGATGGAACGCCATATGAGAGAGCATTACTGTCCACTTTCCTCTGCAACGCTACTGTCCCAACGTTACCATTATTTAAGATGGTCGAATCCGCATGTTCACCGTTCTGTTACGTTTTACATTATCTTTTGTTCATAAAGTTTATATCGGCTTTTTATCAGGTATACGTGACTGGACAATTGCTGTAGCACAGTACAGTAAATTTAAAAATTCGGACTATTTTCTTGTGAGCTCACAAATCAATTGAATCGTTTCAATAAATGGACACGAGCTAACAGTAGAAGATCCGCTAATCGCTATTCGAAAAGCAGAAAATGTATGTCAAGCAGATTTTTTTAGGGTGGTGCTCACAAGCCGTTGGGTGCGCACCTCCCTGAACCCCCATCGTAGATCCGCCCCTGAGTGACACAGATTCATTATTGGGTGGTAAAATTTGCTCCCATGCAGAGCCGGTCACGCATCTCACAGCCAATCTCACACCAGTAGCGTAACTACTATGGGCTCAGACCGGGAGAACCCGGGGGCCCCAACCCCAATAGGTCAAAATGGGGGCCCCCAAGCTTAGGCGATAGAGCAAAAACATTGGCCAAGGCCTCTCTGATATGTTACAATGTCGTTTTCTGACCAACAGAATTCTGTAAAATCTCTCCCCAAAGTCCAGGAAATGGCATTTCAGAGAGTCTAGATTCAAAAATTTTCCGGATGAGCATGCCCTGGACCCGCTAGAAAACCTGTGCATATACGGCGCTCGACTCGTGACTTTAGCACTTCTACTAGGGGGGTCTTCGAAAATTTTGAACCGGGGGCCCCCTGATATAACGTTACGCCACTGTCTCACACTTGGTGTATAGGGTCTTATAGTGATAGTATAAATTACACAGCCTATGTAGTACGAGCACCGAGTACGACATGTGGTGCATTAGCATGGGAATTCTGAAAATGACCTGCACATTTGGAATTCTTTCACTTTTGTTTGAGAACATGGAATATTTTGCTTACTGCCAATTGGAAGGAGGAAGGTTCTCAAAATGCGACATGGAATACGGAATTTTCAGTACAATTTAATACGGAATTTTTATGTATTTTTCCAACGTCATTTTTCGGGTATTTATCCATATTCTCGTTTCGAACATGGAATTATGAAGCTCAAAAAATTCCCTCCTCATTCGGCCCGATGTATGCTTTCTATACACACTACAAACTTTAACTATATTTACTGCATGCATAAACCTTGCTATTACTCAACCAAGTAAGATGTAGAACTTAGTAAGATGCACTTCATTTGAAAAATTCCTACCTACCGTACATTTCTATATGCTCAGTATACGTGTATATATATGTATACACATTTTGAAAACAAATAATAAACTTATTGTCGACAATCATCTTCCTATTACCATGCGGTAAACTATCTTTCTATTAAACTATTAGTTTAATAATTAATATATACGTAATCAATCATTAAAGACTATATACTTTTGAAATATACTCAACTGTAAGCCGAAGCGCATGCTATATACTCAATATATATATATATATATAACAATAGTTCATAATATTTTATAACAACACGAAGCTTTGTGATGTTGTTCGTGGTTATTTGAATGAAATACTAAACCAATTTTGCATCTTTTGCCATGCCATAGAACGCGCCCTGTTTCTCGAGTAAACTTTTCGGAGAGTCGAATTCTATAATGTGTCCACTGGATAAAACCATTATCCTAAACAACAAAAGATGATTACTTATACAGTAAAAGATAAAATCTATCCATTATAGTTATAGAAGCTATACCCATAAGCGTACGGGCCTGATGCTGTCTGGGCGGGGGGTGCAGTTGAAACATTTTCTGGGGGAGCCTGCACCCAGACCCACCTAGAGTTTATAAAATTTAAGTGAAGAGTTACCTTGTATAATCCATGATAGTGTTAAGTCGATGTGCAATAGTAAGAACAGTACAGTCTGAAAATTCTTTACGAATAGTTTGTTGAATAAGTTCATCAGTTTCTAAATCTACAGCAGCCGTTGCTTCATCCAGAACCAAAACTTTTGTTCTTCGTAATAAAGCTCGAGCTAGACACACCAGTTGACGTTGACCAACACTAAAACGTTAACAAAAACAAGTTGTAACGGTAAAAGCATGGACGAGTTACTGTTTCTATTAGTGAATGTTATGCATGTACACGATATACAACATACGGCAACAACTTAAAGCCATAGCAGATGTTTAAAATAATGTTTATCCTCACTTCCCTTCCCCCCTAAAAAAAGAGCTTTGCATCTCAAGAACTCAGTCAGGGATGGATCTACAATATTGGACATAACCATCCTCATTCCCAGGGCCGCTTGGCCGCGCGCGACCTTCATAGGCCCTGGGATACACGGAACCGGAAGTGCAAGAAAACTTGCAGTGGTTTCTAAAGCGCATACAATTGCATTGGGATGCTTCAGCACCCGCAACAATTTTCACAGAGAAGTATTACAAAGAAATGAAGTATGTGTGTTGACATATTTTGATAAGAATAATTTTGCCTAGCAAAAACTGCTCAACTTCTGAGAAATAGCAGTTCTCTGAGAAGCCAATCAGATCTCTCCCTTTAGTCGCCTAACGCAGAGCCTAATTTTCAACGAGTGCCCGAGTAAAAATGGCTCTCGGGGGACGAGAATAGGACATAACTGGTTGAGACTAGCTTCCTCCCCAGACATCTCGTGGTTCACCTGGGTGACTTGGATTTACTAATTGCCGCAACCAAATTTTGCCCGCCAATGTAAAGGGGACCTCTGCGGAGGAAGCTAAAAGAATAGGGTGGGCACATTGCGGGAAAAATCGAAAGACAAATTGAAGCTTCCTAATGGGGGCAAATAAGGCTCTCTGATTGGCTAAAATCCCGTTGCCCGGATGTATACTCTCATTCCCGGTTGCAAAATGCAAAGCCGCGATGTTTAGGGAAATTACGAAAATAATAAAACTTTGAAATTTTTTCCAGTTTTAGCATAGTTCAAGCATGGACTATAAAAAGCTCAAAATCAACAATAATACCTGGACTTTTATACAAAACAAATTTTAGAACGGTAGAAACGTTTTAAAGTGCTTTTTTCGTGTTTTATCGTGACTTCGGCACGTCCAAATTTTTATAATTTTCCACGAATATAAAACGGAAACTCCTCAATTTTTCGCCACAAATAAATGTAAAACAGTCAGCTGGACTGTTGATAAAAGCAGGATTGAATACTTGATCGTAGCCAAAAGTTGAAAAAATAGATTTTCTCGGTTTTACATCCGGGTATAACTCAAATTTGCCCGCATTAACAAGCTTCAATTTGTCCCTTTCGTTTGCCTGAACTTTTCCTGCAATGCCGGCTCTATTCTTTTAGAGCTCTATTCTCTGATGGGGGCGACAAAATTTGTTTGGTCAATGCGCATTAACTTTGCAAAATGGGCTGGAAATGTCCAGGATTGCAACTTGAACTGGCCGGGGTGTGATACGGGTGAGGCAGTGTTTTGGAGGCTCTAGGCATGGATCAAGTTGCCTGGATACCAGTTACAGGGTATCTCTCAACAGAATCAGTTTAAATATAGTAATCGCGTGATATTCACATAAAAAGGTTGTTCATATAATATCTAAAGGTCCGTTTACACTTGCAATATTTGGTTCGATTTCTAGTGCGACGTTTATAGCGTTAGACAGGGGAAAATAGATAAGTAGTAAGTCTGTTACACGGCCACTTAAAGGTACATCTCGTGAAATGGTGCCGGTGCGAATTTTAGTTACCAACACATTTCTACCATTTTGCTGCTGTAAATTTCAGTCCTTAAACTATGCTTCACATTTAACGCACATGCATGGTAAAATATCATGGTTATAGAACTTGTTAATCACTTGGTTAATAACAATATTGGGAGGAAGGCGGTCGCACTCCCCCACCTTCTCTCTGAGTGTCCGCCATTGCTTAAAGGATTGTTAATTATCATGTCAAACCTCAGGTTAGCTCCGCCTTCACTGACTGCATGTTGAAGACCATCTTCAAGATTTGAGACATACGTCTTAAGATGAGTTACATCTAACGCTTTCCACAGCTGTTCGTCACTGTACTGACCAAACGGATCCAGATTAAAACGCAGTGTGCCTGTGAACACCACAGGATCCTACGATAAAAAGGTCAAAAATTCAATGACATATCGTATATAGATTCTATTTCTAAAACTAAACTAAACCAACTTAATTATTCTGGAAAGTTCTATCCGATCCATGGCGAAAAGTTTGTTTGTTTGAAAGAATGTTTAACATTTTACAGAAAACCATTTTACAAATTCTTCAAATGCTGCTTAGACGAGACTTTTTTTATTCATTGGTTTACGGATCCGCCGACCGTAAATATTCAGAAAGTGAAAAATAAAAATAAAAAATTTGGATGTCAAAAATTTGTACAATTTTAGTTAATTTTAATTAATTTGAGGTTCTGACATGAAGTACACTTCAAGTAAACTTTGACTCTAAGTAGTGCTGGCTCATGTTATCGTTGTGACAATCAATATGGAGATTAGCCACGTGTTTTGCGCTTTTGAATAACGTTAAAAAATTTTATAAAGATTATTAATTTTGGTTCTCATTTATACTCTGTTTTTTTTAAATTTTTTTTCCGACCTACCGACCTCTTATTTTTAAAGTCAAATCCTAAACCAATAAATAAAAAAAGTCTCGCCTTAACTCCAAAAATATTTTGAACAAAACTCATAAATCAGTGAGCTGTCCACTAATCCACTATCTTAATTAGATTACTGTGGGTATGCACTTTACGTGACAAGATGTCAAAAGTGTCACGAAAATTTTTACCTAGGTATGGAATGGTCATTATGAGCTCAAAATTATACTTCGGTCACTATTTAGCGAAACACGAACACTATTACAGTCGATTTCACAAAACGTTTTCCAAAATCTTTCAAAGTTCGTTTAGAAGTTCGCCAATTCTGTTGCGAAGTTCCAAAGTTCATAATAATGTTCACAAACCAATTTGTAAACTAAGCATTCGATTGGCTTCTTTTAATTCAGGAGCCAATCAGAGGATTTGTTTACAAACCAGCTTATGAATTTTAATTCGAATTTTGAAAGTTTCGAACTTTGGAACGAAGTTTGGAACATTTTTGTGAAATCGACTGTCACATTCTACAAAGAACTGTGTTTACACTATTAAACATTCTATAAATACGAATTGTGTTTATTTAATCGTAGAACAATAATGTAAACGTCAGAGTAATATGTCTTGTTTTTTGTTGAAACGTCCGAAGTGGCTCAATCCATGTGTTCGAGTTTTTCTTTTTAATCTGCCTGCTCTACAAAGAGGCCTTGTTACGACCAGGCACTGTCAGGCCATCCTCTGAGTATAATCTTGAATGGTCTGTGCCAGTGTAGGTACTATGCAATCTTGCATCCCTGTCTACCGAAGTTTTGTCATCTTCTAAAGCCCAGGTCCGATAACGATACGATAACTTGTATACGCGCGCTGATTCATGGTCAAAAATTTATCGTTATCGTCCGACTGAAAAAAATCGCTCGGGTGAGCGATTTTAAAATCGTTATCGTCTGACGATAATTTTATCATTTTCGTTGTAGTGTGGACACTAACACAATGTTTTTCCAATTATCGTGTGTTTACAATTTATCGTATCGTTATCGTTGTGTAGTGTGACCGGGCCTTAAGTATCTTAAGTATAAAGACCCCAGCCTCATTTTGCCACCATTTTAAAGCCGCCGCAAAAAACCCCAAGCGGGCTAAATAGAGGAAATACGGTAATCATTCTTTTTCTTCTATCATCTACCTGAGGAATGATGGTAAGTCTTGAACGCAGATCATGTACACCAAGCTGTGATATAGGAATACCATCAATAACAATTCTTCCTCCAGCTGATTCAACCACTCGAAATAACGCCATCGTCATTGTTGATTTTCCGGCACCTGTACGTCCCACTATACCAACCTAGGATTTCAATTCATGTTCAGTGGCGGTTGTTCAAAGCTATAGATCAGCGCTAACCTTGGGTTAAAATTTAACACGCGGTTTCGTTTTGGGTACATCTGCACTTCTGTGTATTTCAAAACTTTAAAACTTACAATACAATACAATAGTATACAATACAATACAATACAATACAATACAATACAATACAATACAGCACAGCACAGCACAGCACAATACAATACAATCAAAGGAAATCTCTATCACATATAAATGCACGACACGCTTATGATTCTTCTTTGTGTTTTCTCATGAATTATTAAGTTTTTGAATTCTATGTCAAATTTGCTCCAGTTATAAAAGATGTTCTTAGGACTATTCATATCGAGATTCCAAGTCAAATGGTCGTAGGGCAACGTGCATGTTAATACTTACCTTCTCTCCTTGTTTGATCTCACACTCGATACCACGCAGAGCAAGATCAAGATTCTCTCTGTATCTGAGATCAAATCTTTCAAATTCAATCACACCCTTATCTGGCCACGCGTCTGGAGGACGACACTCTTCATTGATCCAGTCCGCCTATGGGAAATTAAAGGACCAGTACAAGTATAGTATTCTACAATAAACTTTTGTGGGTTAGGCCTCGACTATCTGAAACAAGAGTAAAAAACATCGTCATTTCAAACAAAGCCCTTCATCTAGCACTGTGGTGCAACTTAACTATTCTTATCACTTGCAATCAGGGGCCAGTTGTTCAAAGGTGGGTTAGCGCTAACCCTCGGTTAAAATTTAACCCGCTGTTTTGGTTGGTGTATATTTCTGCACGTCTATTTATCTCAAAACGTCAGAGAAGTAAACTCCTATCGATTCAGATAAGATTTCTAAAGAAACATTTCTTCATTTCGAACAACCGGCCCCAGGGCAAGTTGGACATGAAAATTGGTTGCCCGGAATGCATTTCACTTGCCGTGAGGTCTAGTTTTGCCCTCACATATTAACAAACTTTGAAGCAAATCATTCAAGTAAGGATGATTAACCATCATTGTATAGTCTGGGGGAAGCGCTAAGTTACACCACTGCATCAGTAACTTGCAGCTTTCCCTTGACTCGTCATGTCTTCTTTATCTTTTTCAGCTAGTTCTGATATAAACTAGGCTTGAGGTAAAAAATGTTAGACGAGTTTCACAAGCAGCCAGACTGAAAACAGAAACACGACGGACAGACAAGACTTTATGCAGTACTATAATTCTAATTCCGCGGGTAGCTGATAAACTGAATGACCGACCAACAAATTGACCGACCGACCGTTCAGACAGTCGGCATGTCCGGCCGAGAGAGAGGCGGTGCAACGTTGACCTTTAGACGTATAGAATAGAAACATGAATCAACAACTGAACTCTCCCTCCGGTTAACCAATCAGATGTGCGTACTAAGCCAGTGAGAAATAGTCAAATCTAAACCTCTCTATTTCTACGGAGAAGAGAGGGAAAGAGAAACTTGGAACATGTCTACGTTTTATGGGAACTCAACCATAAAAATAACAAAATACCTCTCGTTCAACTTTGGAGTATTCATTAATTCTTTCAACAGCAACAATACGAGCTTCCAACTCACTTGACATAAGAACTGACCAATTAAGTCTCTGTGTTACCTGTGCAACACAGAATATTTAAAAATGTCAAATTGACACATCATCCTCCGCAAGGTAGTGCTTTAGTAGACGGGCAACATTTAGTTGCGTGCACTATATAAATACAGTGTCAATCTACAATCAGTAAAGACTGATTCATATAGTATAGTACATAGAGTTTTGTAGATGGAAATTATCGAGTGTAAATTTAATAAACACTTATTAATTAGACCTAACCATGCAGGAACAGCTGCGAAAAATGCAACTCTACGTCCTCTAGCAGGACCTATGGCCCTGCAAAATCTTGATAGTATACATGAACTTCAATACATGGATCTAATAAAGTCAATAAATGTACTTAAAAAACTCATTAATAATTCATGAGGAAGAGACAAATGAAATCACTACCATGTCGGTCGTTTTCTATCTGATAAAAATCATGTGAACTTTAGCTTTGATTTTCTCGACTTAGACAACGTTTATTTTTAAAATTTCATCGCCAATAAACTCATAAGATGCAACGTTTTTTAAGCCATTTAAAACACCCGCAGTCCGTGCTTGTGCATCCTCGTGTTTTAAGTACTAGATAAAACATGAGCAGCCGATCTGTATCCGATATACAAACTCGAGCCGAAGGCGTACTTACAAAATGACCCGTCCTATGAGTTCATTGGCGAAGTAATTTTAAAAATAAACATTGTCTAAACCGAGAAAATCAAAGCTGAAGTTTATGTAAATCAGGACAAATCTTTATCCGATTTACAAACATTGATTAAACATTCATTTTTTTTGTATTTTCCTCGTGAATTATTAATGAATTTTTTAAATAGTGTATAAAATTTACTCTCGATAGCTTCCATCTACAAAACCCTTCAACTATTGTTCAATCGGGTGAGATGCCAACAAAATCTTGATTTACATGTACATGCATATAGAACGCAAGACAAACTCAGTCCCCTTACGCCAAGCATTGTCTTAGTTTGGTTGCGAGGAAAAACCCTCTTTCTTAAACACATATGACATATCCATATATAGCTAAGAAGAACCCTTCGAAGAAGGAACTTTCTGAAAAACACATTTAGGTTATTGATTAATTAACCCAAATATAGGTTATTTCTAGGTTAACCAGGGCGTTTAACCAGGAATTTTAACCAGAGTGTAACACAGTAGATCTGAAAAAGACACTGTCCAAATAGCGATCACCGCAACAATTACGTTTGTGAGGCGTGAAAAGTAATTCTTCAATTTAAAAAAAAATTCGTCGATTAAATGGGTCATACCTCCAAAGCAACGGTTATGGACAATCCTACGAGACCACTTTCGATTCCATCACGTCCTACCACACCAAACAATGCCGTGAAGAATATTATGAAATTTCCAATAGCCTCGAGGCGAATACCTAACCACCTTAACACAGTGAGAGAAAATTAGAATACATTTCAGTAACAAAATAGAACAAAATCATTTCCAATATATGGCAAATAACATGAGATATTTTAAACTAACATTCACTATACAAAGCGCCGCATTTTGTTTTCCACATGTTTTCCATGAATTTTATTTTCACTTTTTCACTAGACCAAATTGGTAAAATGAAATGTAAAATTAATGCTCGAAATAAAGTTTTAATTCATTTTACAAGTTTCGAAAACACAATACAGCTTCAGGACACCGTATAACAGCACAATAAAAGCATTACATCAAAAGAAAAACTCCCGTACAGTTTGAGATATCTATATATGATACAAAACAATGGCTTTAAAAGAATATCACGGCAAGGTTTTTGCTAACAGTCGGGATAGTCTTCGCAGCTATTTTAGAAAGATAAAATTTCAAGAGAATGTTTTGAAAATTTAAATAAGTTCCGAAATATCACTCGAACCGACTTGACTTCGTTGCTCAGTTGGTATAGAGCATTGCAAGACTAGCAAACCTTTAGTTTCCTGGGCAAAATTTTTCAATATTTCATCGATTTTGAAAACAAGTTTGCCGAATCATTCTTTTGAAAAGCATTTATTTTATTTATTTACTAGTCTGCTAGTAAATATTGCGTTAAATTTACTGGTCAACTAGCCAGTCAGAACGCGCGAAGGCTCGTTTGGTATGCAAAATTTATACTAAATTATATTCCGCATTCCGCTTCTCCTGTTTTGCAATTATGATGTGATAGGGGGTCCCCCTGGGAACGTTTTGTCCCGGGCCCAGCACAACCTCTCGATGGTCCTGTATAATAGCGTGAAGTGTTACCTGTTTGAAGAAACATTTGGGAAATAAGACATTTGATTGTGATCAACAAGACTGTCACTCTCCAAAATGAACCGCTTTTCTTGTCCATACGCTCGTAGGGTACTGACCCCTCCTATTGTCTCGAGAAAATGGCTGTATATTGGAGAGTTACTCACTGATTCCAAACGTTTTAATTGTCTTGACGAGGGGATATAGAATCTCTAGAAAACCAAAACAATATTAGATTCAGTGGAAGACAGGAGGGGAACAATAATTTCAAAGCCTTTCAGTAGTGATAGGTGATGAACTGTGTAACCAGCTTTTAGATCCATGAAAGCCTTAATAATTTATAGACTAGGTATATGATTAGGCAAACGCCCCAGAAATTTTATAACATTTTTGTAGCAAGAAGAGAGTCATGATGATGTTGGCAACCTAAATTCGCACCCATTCCCAATATTTCGCACAGTGTCCTCCACCAATGTTAGGCATGGAGAAGAAAAATTCACGGTCTATATGTATATTTAATCCTAGAGGCCGGTTGTTCAAAAGTCGGTTATAGCTTAATACTAGGTTAAGGAAAAATGTCAAAATAATACCCCCAACAGCTGGTTTACAAACATCGGAGATATTTTCTCAGAAATCTTGTCTGGACCAATAGAAGTTCTAACTAACCTAACGTTGAACGACCGTGTACGAAGGCTGGATATTCCTAAATTACCCGTTGATTGGTATGACCTACTAGATTAACCTTTAGTACATTTATATCTCGTAAATGCACTTAAACAGAAAGTCGACATACCTGAGTTACGAAATACAGCAGTGCAATTGGAAACAACACAGCAAGAAACACAGGCGTCGTGAAAGATATAATGAATATAACTCCAAGAACATTGAATGACGAGCCTAAGAACTGTTGCAGAACAGCGGGTATGACACTGTCTACCATGTCAATATCTTTTGAAAATCTGTTGAGAATACGACCAGTGGGTGTAACTTCGAAAAACGCCAAAGCAAGATGCATAATATTCACCAATAACTTCTCATGGAGTGCAGTTGATGCCCTATATGACGCGTATGCCATCAAAAATGAGCTTGAGGTTACAAAGATTGCTTGACCAATACCAACGCCAGCGTAGATTCCAAGGAATCGAGTGTTTTCCGAAGAGTCGGTAATATTTGATGAACTCCAATGCGCTAACCATAACTGAGATGAGACGAGGCTGGCGGTCGAGAGAATGAGGGATAGGAAGATGAAGACACTAAAGCCGATACCCAAGGCTACATAATACGACAAAAGCACCGAGAATCTGACCTATAAAATGCATTTAGATATTTTTAAAAATTACACCGTGCCAACCATACCACTTCATGGTAGGAACACGTAATAACAAATTAAAGTAGGTTAAAATAGTTAGATGTACTGTATTAAAGCAAGTGCTAGGGTTAGAGTCAAGGTTTGTGCCAGAGTAACGACTACCTTGAATAGCCTGGAATAATATTGCAGTGCGGTGCCCTGGAGCATGCGCACAACAAGGGTACCACAAGCGCGAAGACATACATTTAAATAAATACCAAAGCCTATGATTCCGAAAAAACTAACAATCTCACGCAGTTACCTGTAAAGCGATTACGTCAATATTGGGCTCGACCATCAGTTTCGCCCAATATTGAAGTCTCGACTTAAGGTAATTCCGCAGTATTTGTTCCCGAAATGAGAATGTGCTGAAACTTCCCAGGCATAGAGTTTATGATATACTTAAAGTAAATCACACAAAAAAGTCGGGGTCACCGAACTTGTTAAGAAGATATGACAATCACAATATACCACCTTTACCCAATATGGCGCCATCTTGACGCTCATTACTCACAACAGCCCGATATTTATTGACGTTTTTAGCGCGGGTTTTGCTTTAATAAACCTATCTTGTAATTATTTTTGAAAAAATATTGTGTTTTGAGCAAAATGAAACTACTAACGTGTACAATTCTGGTCCACAAATGTCTTTTGCACATTTCTTTACACATCTTTCTTTGAGAACATGCATTGATAAAGCATTTTTTTTTCAAGATCCAGAAATGATTTTTCTTTTAATTTCGGATATGAAATGTAAAATGCATTAAAGAAATAAATTATCAGTTAAAAAACGGGGGTCACGGATCTTTTTAGGGAATTGTGGCATTAAAACGTGAAAAACAAGTAAATAAATATACTACAGACACAGAGAACCCTAGCTACACTTTTGTATGCCTTTTTTAACTTGAAAACATTGATTTTAACGTAATTCTTTGCACGAATGTAATCAAAGATGTTTTGAAGTAACATAAAATTGTCATAAAATGATATTTTTTTTAAACGGTACGTATAATGGATGAAATTATAAGTTATAAGATGTGCGCAGTAAAAGTGCGCAATGCAAAACTGCGGAATTACCTTAATAATTTTCCATATTGGGCTAAGAAGTCATATTTTACACACTTTTCAAGAACATTTGAAAAAGGCAAATTCAGAATCAGATGAACAAGAATCACTTTTTCCAGGTCTAGTCATTGATAGAACTACTCATGCTTACCGACGACCGTAAAGTGAGCATATTATCGTGTACACCTCAAATTGCATACGTCTAAGACAAGCGAAATTTTTTTCCAAATTTGCCAAACTCACCCGTGCATGTTTTTTTCCAGCCAAGCTACTACCTATACTAATCCAGATTTATATCAATGTGCATTATATATAGGAGACGCCAACTATACGACAAGTTACATGGAAACATAGTCTGTAAAAAATTGATGGTCTGGAAACTAAACAGAGGGGTTTGTTATATGCTTTTGTCTGAGTTTATTGTGCACGCTCACGGTGATTGAGCTCATTGTATTTTCGAATAATTACGTAACCGTCCAATAGGGATAGCTGAGATGAAACGTGCAGTCATGATGAATAATATTTCATGAAGTTGAGACAAAGGAACAACTTTTATCATTTGAATAGTTTGAAAATGTATTTGGAATAGGTTTAACTTAATGTTTAAGTTCCCTGTTTAAGAAATAGAAAACATACAAGTCTTCTCAGGTGAGGTATAGTTCAACATCAAACAAAGCTCTTCTATTTTGCGGCTTGGCAAAGTAAGTTTACCGGGATGGACTACGATGAAAACGAGTTTGTAAGCAGCGTGTTAGCCAGGCGGCCGTCCGATCGTCCTACGGACGGCCATTTCTGAATTCGGACGGCTAAATTTTAATGGACAACCATGGACGGCCTAAGGGAATATTTTCTTTAATTTAAATAGCAATTTACAAGCTTTGTAATATTTCTTGAATACTTCGAATTGTTGCCATCTGCTGTTTACTTTACTTATGGTATATGTTTTCATACTTTTTCCCGTCGAAAACACGTTGAACATGGCTGAATTGAAGTATCGACAAATGCGCCATGTTTTTGTAACCATGTTCATGATTCTCGCATGAAGTATTAAGGAGAATAATTTGAAACCGTTGTTTTAAAAAACAGCAATCGCTTTATCGCTCGAGCGCTACATGCTTTAGAGTTACAGTTACCGAGTAAAGATGGCTGTAAAATGAGCCAAACGCCATGAGCCAAACGAATTGATAAAAAAATAACTAAACACTACACTACGGTTCATACCATACGTGTGCTTTTACTAATTTAATGACGGGAATGTGCATCTAAAAGTAAAAAGGTTCAACGAATAGAACACCACAATTCCACAACAAAAAATTGCGGCCACGCCCAAAAACATGTGACCACGCCCACAAAAAATTGTGGTCACGCCCACAAAATTATTTTTGAAATTCTGGCTAACACCCTGTTTGTAAGTCTGACTAAACATATTGCAAAAATCTTACATGTCCTAATTCCATTGTTTCATCTTCAATTATTTTGTTTTCAGGCTCTTGTTTCTGACCAGCGGCATCCTGTTCATTGGTTACTTCACTTTGTTGCGTCACAACACTGACCATCCGTTTAAAGTCAAGGGGAGATCCATGTTCATCCATCAACATTCCATCGACCAAAGATTTATCTGAAAATACAAAGAAACTAAAAAACGGGGAAAATACTATGATAATAAGAATCGTACTTATCCAGGATAGCCAGAACACCACATGTTTTTCAGTGGGGTTCTTGCATCAGTTTTTATTGCAACTGCCTCTCAAATTGACCACTTGCGTAATAGACTAAATTTTGATCTAAACAAGGCTAGACAAAAATTTCATCACAGCTTAAAAGAGCATCACAAAATTAGTAATATTGCAAAGTTTCGTTGCGAAATGTTGTAAAATGCGGATAATATAGCCTTGCGAAGTTACGAAGTTACAATACCCTTTGGGGCTGTCAATTTCCCGTTTGTAATAGAAAATGACTGAAAAACGGCAAACTTCGCAAGGCTATATTATCCCCATTTTACAACATTTCGCAACGAAACTTTGGAATATTGCTAATTTTGTGATGCTCTTTCAAGCTGTGATGAAATTTCTGTCTAGACTTATTGAGATCAGAATTTAGTCTATTACGCAAGTGGTCAATTCGCGAATAATAAATTAATTGGAAAAAAAGGAAACCACAACTGGACATGTGATCTTAATTAGCATATAGAAATTTCGTCAATTTAAACAAAAATTTCTTTTAAAATACTTAATATTCATTTGCGTGCGAATTGGGATGTCGTGTCAACCTGATACTTACGACCTTCACCTCCGCTTTCCCCCTCCTCGCGTGGCGAGATTTCGGGGAGGGGGAGGGGGGGGAGTTGAAGATCCTGAACTATCAGGTTGATGTCATATCGGATTTTAGTTCAGTCCCAGGGGGATGATCTAATATAAATTCCTCCTAGTCGGATTTGATATATTACATTTGGCAGTTATTCTTGCGAAATCGAGTCGAGCTGATAACCGACGAAGACGAGAGTTCTACATGGCAGACTGGTAGTGAAAGTGAAGACATGTTAAAGAGGTACAACATGGATTAACGTTGATGGATGGTAAACAAGGTGCTCTAGTGAATGGCTCTTCAATACTTCATGTGAATTACTATCAGCATATTTCAATGGAAACCTGCCTAAAATATCGCAAAAAGTCAGAGATCGACAACTAACCCTGCGAGAACATGGCATGCGACATCCAGAAAAGAAACAAACTAGCTGTTTCTGTTAGAACAGCAGCTAGCGAGAGTGTCGAATCACTTGATGAGACTTTATCAGCATTGGATTGTTTCATTCAGGAATGTCAACAGCTCAATGTTCAGAACCTTAACTGGGATTGAGTCTGGTTCCATCTTCTATAAATACATGCATACGCACATTACCTTTATCATCATTTTCCAGTTCCACTGCGTACGTCTTAAGAAATTCAGAGAAAGCTCCTTCGTTGCTTACCAATTCTGAATATGTTCCACACTTAACGAAAAGAAAATAATTATATCTATATAATTTATGTATATGTATAGAATATTTTTAATATATGGAATAAAATGGTTCAAGATTCAGAAGTCTTCATGTTTATAGTTTAGTTTATAGGACTTGTTGTACAAATACTGAAATACATACTTCAAATATGTAAAACAAATAAGTAAAATTAACCACCAGGATTTTGGGCATTTGAGAGCCGCACGTTCGATTCCTGATAGAGCGCCTAACACAGCTGCTCCTGCTCCAAAAATGTATACAATTTTCACTCCAAATTCCCATCTACAAAATATATGCCTTAATCACTTGTTCCTCAAAAGTGCGCAAAACAGTGGAAAATTTGACTGTACATTACGAAATTATCTGAATTATTCAGGTTTGAGCATTATTGCCGCACACTCAGCATGCAGAAATGCCGTGAATTCAAAAGATTTGGCTTTCGTGGTATTCGTCAATACACTCTTTCAGAATGTCGCTTTCTTAGCAATAGAGCCTCGTTATTGCGGTCGAACTCTTTGCTTTAGAGATTACTTCTTTATAATGGCGACGTCCCTCTCGTGAAGGAAAAGGGGGAAATGGATAAACCCCAATTCATGGCCAACCCTATAACCCAACCCTAAACCTCATCCTGGAAAGTCAAAATTAGGAGGGAAAACAAGTACTTAGGCACACATATACTTTTTTTATGCGCGTAATTAGTTATTTTTATTGTGTAATCTTGAATCAGGCCAGGTTACGAGGCAAAGTCGAAAATTGTGAGCCCAAAATATTACTTTCTTTACTGTATAGTTTGCCAGGAACAATAACACCAAGTCGAGGCTTTGTGCTAAATTTTGCATGTAAGAGAATTCGACCCTAATTCGGAAATGGCCTAGTATATAGTTATATGTACGTATTCGCCAAATTTGTAATCCTACTAGTCAGCCTAGTCCCACGCCCTCTCTGTTTCTTCACTGTTCAATATTGTATAGTCTGGATTACTTGTGCATAGCCCAGTGGTATAGCTGAAGCAGTGACGTCACACTTACGTTCCAGTCTCATTACAGGTGTGAAAGCTTCAGGATGACAAGGATGAGGCTGACGACAGCCTGAGGAAACAGCGAAAGAAATTCTCTTTTGTCATACATGGCTTACGATTACTATAAGTATAGGTAATCATGCGATGGCGAGTACAATTAGGGATTAATAGTACGAGTGATGTTTGGACGAGCAGCCAAAATTGGACGAGCCGCCGGGGCGAGTCCAATTTGGTAAATTTCCAAACATCACGAGTACTATTAATCCCCAATTGTACGAGCAACATCGCATGAACATTACTTGTTTATTATTAGCATGACAAAATTGGATACATACTTCTCAATGTCAACATCATATTCTCTCGCCAAAGCCCAGTCCTGCCAGACTTTCAATCGGAATTTAGTGTTTTTGTTTGTATTTTCATTTAGTTCTTTTGTTCAAGCAAAATTTGGTGCTTTTGTTCGTATTTTCATCCAGTTCCTCCACGGCAATTTCATTTCGCAATTGTGTTTGAAATACCTTTCCGCTATTTTGTTTGTTTTGGGAAAATCATTAATTGTACTGCAGTACAATTAATGAAATAATTGTACTCCTCTCAACCAATCAGCATCCAGTAATTTTGTCATGCTAATAATAAATATATATATAAGCTGTGTCATATACAGCTCAAAGAAATTCATACAATTTTCATACAGGTACCTCGGTGATAATGCCATCCTTGAGAACAATAATCTGATCCACGTCAGGCAAAACTCGAGTATGATGCGTCACAAGGATCCTCGTCTATAATAGAAGGTAGAACAGATTACGAACAGTAAAGATAGAACAGATGACCATATACTTGTACCTTTGTCAGGGCGATAACAGGGTGACATAAAAACGATATGTCACCGGCTGATATCGTTTTTTGTCACACATATCGCTTTGGTCCCGCTATTTTAATAATTGTTGCACTGGGGCAACGATATCGCGTCGTCCCTCGTATGATAACCTATAGTTACAAACAGCAAGTAAATTGAAAAGGAGTATATTGTTGTCATGTCAAAACATGCAGGAAATGTGACCACATTAATTCCTATGCTTATTACTGCTGAAATGCTATGAAACTATTGTGGAAAATATAAGTAAAGGTAATACAGCATCAGCAGAAAAGCGAACGGGAAAGGAAGATGGAGGCATGTCACAGTGCATGTGTAATGACACGAAGATATCAAGAGGGACGAGGCTCAACTGGTGAGTAGAGAAGTTAGTTTAAAACAGAGCAAAGTCGAGAAGGCACAGAATCACGAAGGAAAAGAAAGTATTAAACAACCATGAACAACTTGTAGAGTGGAAACCAGTTTTAGATAAATATTTTCAACGAGAAATAAATAAATAATATTAGCTAATCTTAGCATAATTTATCGCGGACCAATCAGACGTCGCCATTCTGGATGTTTTGACATGAAAACATGACCCAGGTTTTTGCGCGAGAGGAAGGATCCGCAGTTTTGGTAATAACATGCATCGTCGTAGTGTGAAGCTTGACATATAATTACTCTTCATTTTGACGCTAGCCTAGAGCGCACCATGAAGAGATTGTCTTGACCTTTTCCAATTCAATAAGCAATTATTTGAAAATATTCATGAGGGTATATCTGTTATGGAACGACTCTATAGGTTTTATCTCTGTTCTTCGTTATGTTATTGGTACAACGCAAAATACGATGTTGGGTAATTAATGCTGATCTAACGATGCTTGTGATGTTACTCTGAGTGTATATCCACACCGGGCAAGCTTGTATGCCTGGCCACGGTGGGAATCGAACCTACGACCTTTGGAATACTAGATACACCAAAGGTCGTAGGTTCGATTCCCACCGAATACTCCAAAGGTCGTAGGTTCTATTCCCACCGTGGTCAGGCATACAAGCTTGCCCGGTGTGGATATACACTCAGAGTAACATCACAAGCATCATATTCACATGAGTACATTACACCAACACAGAAAAAATCATGCTTATCTAATGCTTTCCAAGAAATTTTCACCTAAATTATTCGCTAACCATCTTAACATTTAACCTAGAAATTCAAGATAACGAGGGGTAATGTATGTCGAAATTTAATACAACTTCCAAGATTTCAGGTTGGTCAAAAACAGTCTGTAAGTCACTAGATTGCATTGTTTGGCTCGGTTGAAATTTGCTTCATGAAATTTAATACGGCAATACATGCATACATGCTGCTTCCGGGCTATAGAGCTTCGTTTTCGTGAATCAGACCATCGCTTTAGGCCGTAGCCTGCTTCATAACGTATGTAAAAGACCAGTTGCGTTACCAGGAACAACCATGTACATGTAATTGCTGCCGAAGGCAGCCCCTATTCATGACGATGTGTTTTCTCGCACCAGTCCGTTTCCGGTTGGCCGAACTATGTATAACCAAACGACGGATGATCATATTTATGACCTTTTAAGACGTCACATAAATTTAAAAAAATAACATACTCCAGATCGCGATTTGACTTTCCGAATACCTGTTTGAGACTCGCGAACACCAGCATCAACCATTAAAATTTGTTAACAAGTTACGTGCGCCTCATGCTTGTTGTAAATTTTGATTCCAGCTTGCTGCAAATTTTATGTCTGGCTGTTTATCGAAATATTTTTCTTACGTCTGGCTGTTTATCGAAAATATTTTTCAAGATAAGATGAAAGTTTGATCACAAATAACAATAGAGAGTTTTAGATTGACGTATTTTCGTATTTCCCGCTAACTGCAAACGGCTAAAAATCACGTGACAGCCATCTTGCCGTCAGGTTACACGTTCGAAGTAGACGTTTCTACGCGAGGTAGGCTGTTTTCAGGTAGGTAGTTTCCCTCAAGGTTTTCATGCATTTTTTTGTTCTTTTTCTCGCGTATAAACATGGCACTTATGTTTATTATCACTATGACTTTCTTTCTTGCATAAAATAAGGATATGAAACTATTGTCTTCCACTGAAATATTGTGTCGAATTCAGTCGATGTCAATAAACAAAATGGCGGGTAAAAGCATAGCCCAAATGCATAGCTGATTTACATTGTTTTTGTTGTTATTTGTTTTTCTCATAATTTTGAGATTGAAAGTTTTACACTTAGGCTAATTTTGTTGCGAATTTTATATAAAATCTGTTTGTGTCTAATACAGAACTTGGAAAGATCTCATAACCACGAAACCCTTTCGTTAGCCAAGCACACAACATGATCTTGCATTAGCTAGTGCGGTTGCAAGCTGCCTGCCACAAAAGCCAATGGATTGGGATGCTATTGCCCACCGATTAAGTTCACATTTTGGAAGTTAAAACCTTAGGCCTAAATCTAAATCGTCTTCAAAATCCGAACTGCAAACTTGTAACGGGTACGCCGACTACCGGTTTGCGGTTTGCCGTAATAATGACGAACGTCAATCTAAAACTCTATAATACGTAGATTGTTTAGACCTAACCGCTGCAGCAGTTAACATTGCGAAAAACGCAGCTATAGGCCGAAATTTGTTTTTCGCTTCGTACGATCAAATTCTCCTCGCGGAATAACCTGTGCAACTCGTACAGAGATCTACACGCCATTTGACGTGATCGATGATTTCCAGGTGTGAATCACTGGATTACATGGAAAGCTGACTCGAGCTCAAAAAGTGAAGCCAAACATGGCGGAAATTGAAGGCATTCTTGCGCGTCATTCTCAGTCTCCTTACGTGCGCGGCCAAACATTTTTTTATATTTTTCTTCATTTTCCGAGTAAAAATCTGGTGAAAAACAGACTAAATTTGAATGAAAAGTTGAATTCTGATGTTTTGTTGAATTCAGTTCTAAATTATAATTATTATTTATTTAAAAGATGTGATATTTGAGTGGAAAGAAAACAAAATAGCGCGGGATTGTGGTTTTTGTAGATGACAAAGAGTGACAAAACAAAACACAAATGTCACTCAATCTTTCAAAATATCTGTATTGCCCCTATTGACAAGGGTTTCACACACATAAATAACTCATTAAAATAAACAGATAAAATAATCATCAAAGTGATTTATTAAATAAAAAATAAAAAAACAAAATTTTCTTACATGTATGGAATTAAATTGGCTAAAAACTGCCTCGAAAACTGCAGTTAAAAAGCAGTTTTAGGTCAGGAAAACGGACTAAAATAAGCTAAATAATGGTGTGAAAACTGAAAAGCACCATAGAAACAAGAAAGCGAAACAACCAAAGCAAAAATAAATTCCCAATTTATAAAAATACAGATTTTTTCAAAAAAACACAAAAAAAGTTTGAAATTAGTTGTTGAATTCGCAACGAAAAATACAGATTTACTCACACCATGGATAATAAAATAAATGGATAGGACTCTAGCTGACGTAAGCAAAAACAACCTAGTTGCAATCTGTGACGTCACGCGTATTGCAAAGTTCTCGGCATTTTTGTTGTTTCGCTATACTTTCCGCTTTAAAAGAGTAATATTGAAGCATATACTGGGTAATTGTTTTAAAACATGCCTAAGCCACGACAAAGTATTCAAGGTAAATGTTTTTCGTCTTTGTTTTGTATTTGTTGTACATTTGTAGCTACGAAATTGGCGTCCCCAATTTTAACGAAATTCGGGATGCCTTTTTCACTGTTTAGTGCTTGGAATATTTGCTAAAATTGACTGGGAATACTTAGAGATTTCATCGTAGAATGGCGTGGTTATATTCATTTGCTCTTTGACTAAAATGTTTAGCTATATTATTGTTAAACATGCCGTTTTTGAGAATTTGGTTTGCAACTAGGTTTCAACATCCAATCACGCCATCAGCCCATTGAAAACAGTAGGTCACGTCAGCTAGTTTCCTATCCATTTATTTTATTATCCATGCTCACACATACAGTGGGGAAATGCAGTAGACAGTTGGCCGCGCGGGTAAGGAGACTGAGAATGACGCGCAAGAATGGCTTCCAAATCCACCATCGTTGGCTTCACTTTTTGATTACGTCACTGACTGAAGTCAGCCTTCCATGTATATAGTTCACTGGTGTGAATTGCTTTAAGGAAGTTACGTCAGTGAAATGGCATCATACGTACATGCACAATAATGTCCTTTAATAGATCATGATTCTTAACCAAAGAAAAGGCTGATTGAACTAATATATTAATTAATAATATATCACTATTTTAATGAACTTAAAATTAATAATTATTCATTGTTACAAAAAGAAAATGATTAGTTTACACATTGTCTATCTTGTACATTGAACTATAAGTAAACTGGAACGATAACTCCTATGATAAAGGCCTGTTTGGGTGAAGCCAAATTTCGGGCGCTCAAGTACAGCCTGGTCGCAGGTATATGTATACGAAAATAAATACACAAAAATTTTAACGATGTATTTTTACTAATTTAATCCTTAATTTTAACTTATTAAAGTACGTTTCTGGATGTTTGAACCCCATTAACAAGCGTATATAAGATTTTTCTACATAAATTGTATAATTTTGTCTCTGAAGTCTTTCTGGAAAGTCTAAAAACTCAGAAAAACCATAAATTTTCGTGCGGTTTTTTGCCGAGTTTCGTTTTGTTCGTGTCACATTTCGGCAGCTAAATAATATTTGCTTATTTTATGTGCCTTAGATAAAAGATGTGTTGTCTAACAGTCTAAGTGTGCTCTAGGATAAATATAAATGTCTTGAAAGAAGCAAAAGTGAGAAAATTTTAACGATTTTTAAACTGTATTTTTCGCACCATTTTGTAAAAAAGGACTGGGGCTACTGCAGAAAACACTCATAACCGGCTTCAAAGATGGCGGCGAACTTATCGTTCCAGTTTACTTATAGTTCAATGATCTTGTATACTTACTGGTAAAAGTTTTTGAAGGGAGTTTTGGTTTGATTACGAAACTTCTACTACAATACACAACTTGCATGTATCATCGTTACTAAAATCTGACGATTGTAATTTTAAATTTCGACAACGTTCTGCGCATGATAACTGTTTCTGATTAAACGTTTTTTCCTGCAGGCTCATGGTGGTTCCATTTTTCAAAAATGCAAATTTAAGAGGAACCAAACTTTCCTTATTTAAATTATGAACACTCATTGACAAGTCTGAATAATGAAAACTATAACTGGAACAACAAATTGAAAGATGTACACTCATCTTGTAACCACATGCCCAAAACTCATCCGAAATTAACTCAACTGCTCCTCCTGACGATGTCTCGGCGTAATCCTCTTTCTTAACAACAAACGTGTGCTGAATAATATTTCCTTTGTGTTCCTTTCTTAATACAGGCGGTTCTTCCAACAAAGATTTTTGTTCTACGGGAATTGCATGATGTGTCATACCGCCGAGGTAAAGCTCACTAAACTTTGGCATCTTCAAGGCAATTGGATGGTTCTTGATAACATTATAAAGATAGTCAATTGTAACTAACTTGAACCGTACAGCAGCTAGCAGATCATTCGTCTCTTCCAAACCAGCAGGATCAACATCGTTTTGCTCCATCCAATGCATCAAAGCATGAAATACGGTGTTCTCTGATTGGACAATCAAGTCATCACTGCGTAGTAGATACTTCACAGACGGTTCTGGCAGACTGGTAAATTTCTCAGATTGCCAGTTTTCATCTAAAGGGCTAAACTCCTGGGCAAGAACCAACTGTAAAGTTACTGCCAAATCTTCACTATCGTTCATGTTATGTTTCACTTTTATCACATGCATTATTTTTCTGCTGATTTCAAACGTAGTGGCATTCTGTTGAAGAACATATTTGCATTTCTTGAAAGCAAACTTCACATCGTATTTGTCAGCCAACTCTAACACGTCCAGCAGTTCGTCCACTGATTTGTCATTCAGCACATCGCTGCAGTACATGGCCTCGAGGAGGACGAGATGCGCTTTTTCTTCTGATTCTGGGATTTTGAGGTGAACTTCTGTATCATGTGTTTCCTTCATGCCACTTGAGTGTAAAAGTGACCGAAAATATGGACTTTGAACAGCAAGCCATAGGCCGTGCACATAAATCTTGTGCTGTCGTAGTGATTCATTCAAATTTTCCTGTATTCCGTTACAATCAAGAATTGCGGCTTTTTCAGGCACGCCTTCTGTAGAAGGATGTAGTGGTGAGGTTGAAGGCTTGTCAAGCTTCTTATTTTCTGCTTGTTCGCAGGCTGGTTCGTGACTTTTATTTTCCATTGCGCTTCCAATCTCAATCTCGCAATCAGCATTTATCTGTTCGCAGGTTGGTTCTGTTTCGCTTCCGGAATCTGCCACTAACAATTCAACCCGAGTTTCGTTGTTTGGCTCGATTTTCTTTCTTCGTTTCTGTTCCGGCCCTTCATCAGCTATCTCCAGACTTCTTTTGCTGCCAGAGGTCTCAATTAAGTCACCAGAGGTCTCAATTGAGTCGCCAGAGTGTGATACACCAGGCTCAGCAGTATTAGCAGAACTTTGTACAAGACTTGCAGTTTCCCACTCGTCTCGCATAACATCGAACACCAAAACTCGATCACTAAACTCAGGCATGTTGTATTCAGGCACACACATTTTTGAGAAGTCGATTAAATCGCAATATTTCAATTCCATATCAGACATTTTGCCGCAATTTTCGTGCCAAAATGCTGATATTGAAAGTGCCACGTATACTTATTTGATTAACATCCAATCCAAGGTCAGTGACCTTTTGACTTAATTGTTATGAATGACCAATCACAAACCTGTTCATATAGCTTGAGGCGATGTTTGTCATCAGTTTTGTTACAAAACACGCTACGGACAACGGACAAAACTTTAAAATAGCACCAACAAATCGCTGGGACTATGGAAATATGCAAAATGGAAATATAATTCTTGAAGTTTGCAGTTTGCCTGGCAGTTTGCGCTAATACTAAAATGAGTTTGTTATTTGCGCGTCAATTAAATAAACATCGTATTAAATTGCCTGATACTGATCCTGTCTGTTTATTTTGTCTTACCGTTTGCGCTTGACAGCCGCTTGTGTTATATTCTAAAATGCATTTGCCATCACGCTACAGCCTGCGACGTACCGGCGACGATGCCGGTGGTAGCTTAAAACGTGAATTATGTGAATATTTGTTCACCGATTGCCTCCAGTGCCACAGTTACATCGGCGGTAGGCCGGGAAAGTTGACTTGAGTTAACTTTGCCGGTGTCACAGGAGGACAACTGAAGCTCCCCCAGAGACTGCCCCCTTTTCCAAAGTGATATTCCTAGGATATTCGCCCCCCGGGGCGAATCTCCTAGGAATATCGCCCCCCTTTAGGAATTTCGCCCCCCCATATAAATTTTGAATTTTTGATCTAAAAACAAAACGATTGCAAGTTGAAAAGATTTATTGTGTGATTTATTTATTACAAGGAGACAAAATCACATACACATTTTAAGCTTCTTAGCAGCTGGTGGTGTGCACAGTCTGCATAACCACTCATTTGAGGTACTTAGACTAGTGTCATATTCTACACATCTAAAGTGGAACCATTGCCCACAGAGATCGCATAAAATCATGTTGTCCATATTCTTCTGGCAGTTACATTCACATAACATATTATAAAAACAATCGCTTGCAAATTTTATCAATACCAGTGTTAACAATAGACGCCACATTAATCACTTGCTAACAATAAACTATAGGATTAATAAAAAATCTATGGAATTTGTTGGGAAGCGTATTGACTATGTCACGAAGCACTACTGGACTAAGATAATACCAAAACTCTTTAATTACAATACTCAACAACGATTAATCTCCACGAAATACATCTCACAATTTCACATTAACTCTACAATATCTCACTCCCCATGCGGTTCTCTCTCCTCAAAAACACATGCACTAAAAGGCGCTAAAACACATACACTAAAAGGCGCTTCTCTACA